GGCTGGCCATGTGGTCCTCTCTGTGGACTGGCTGCTCTAATTGGGGTCATCGTCCTCAAGGCCTGGTGGGCCAGGATGTACCCATCCCGTCCCCCCGTCATCTGCTCCTGTGTGCTCTGATCAGATATGTCCCTCTCCTGGAGCTGTGGATTCAGTGACGTCCTTTGAAATAAATTCTTCTGGGGAGGGGCAGGCATCCACTTAGTATTTGGGACTGGGGCCAGCCCCCCACCCAAGCAACTCTTAATACTGAAGTGGACATGTGCAGACACCAAAGCTTCCTTGTGGCTCAGCAGTCGCGCTGACTCACACCCAGGGACAAATCAATAAGGTCAGGAAAACTTCCCACTTAGAGACTCCCATCGACAGGATCCCTGGTAAATGGATTACAAGAGAGGTGCAAGAGGTCTGATCAGCAGTGCTAGCAGCAGGCTAGCTAGCAGAAAAGCAAGAAAGATGTGGCAACAAACTGAAAAACCCAAAATAACAGGGAGGAGGAAAGCCGAGTTCTACAGGGGCCGTGAGAGCTGTACAGGCGCGCCTTCAGACACTGGGGCTTAGGGGAAAGAGCTCCCTGATGTCTGAGGGAGATGCCATGCCTCTCTTGCCGTTTCCACAGAAGTACAGAGCGGCCTGGACTATATCTTGACCGAGTTCCTTCGAGCTGTAACGTTCTATGATCTCCTATCCTGGGAAGGGCCACAGAGCAGTAGTTTAAGTTTGCAGATAGATGCAATTTGGTCTTGGTGGCAATTACTCAATTCTGGGCACGGCTTTCTTCCAATAAAACGTACCTACACACCAAAAAAACAAAACAAAACAAAAAAAACGTACCTACAAAAATAGGTAGCAAATGAATTTGGTCCACAGCTCATAGTCTACTGACCTCTAACATCGATTCTGCACACCAATTATAATCACTAATGAATTATACCTAAAATCCTCAGCAGCCGTTAAGCTAGAGTAACTGTATTTTGTTTAAGACAGCAGAAATAAATAGAATGTCTTGGGAGGAGTCCATAGAAAACATTCAATGTGCAAGGAACTCGGTTAAACTTTTAAGCTTCTTAACTATGTGAAAAACTGACTGTTCAGAGACCCAGGGGTCCAGAAAGTCAAGGTTCTGTTGTAACACAGGACTCTCTCAATAACTGCAAAGCTCAGGGACCTGCAGTGCCTCACAAAACACACGGCCCTTTGAAGTCATGAGCAGAATGAGATTATATATTTTTTCTATATTGAAATTTTCTATATTGATATTCTATAAGCTGAAAAAAACATACTAACAGAGTCAGATGGGATTAAGTAAAAATAAATCCAAATCACTATTTTAATGAGAAGTGTTGAGGGGCAGGGGCAATAAGGGAAAGTTCTGGGTGGGGTGTGTGGATCAAGCAAACGATGGAATGGGAATGCCAGAACACTTAGGTGTGCTCATGCAGAGCCCGTCCATGAATCAAGAGACAGTTGTACTAACAGAGCAAGCGAATTCTGCAGGAATTAAAATCAGGAAAGGTGTGTCACCCAGGCCTATTCAATCTGTATACTGAGTCAGTCACCACAGAAGCTGGATTATATGAAGAACGCGGCCTCAGGATTGTAGAGGCTTAGTAATAACCTGCGACATGCAGATGACAACCTTGCTTGCTGAAATCAAGGACTCGAGTGAGGTACTTGCTGATGAAGATCAAGGATTATAGGCTTCAGTATGGATTACAATTCAACATAAACCAGCGGTTCTCAACCTGTGGGTTGCGACACCTTTGGGGGTCGAACGACCCTTTCATAGGGTTCGCTCGATTCATAACAGTAGCAAAACGACAGTTATGAAGTACCAACGAAAATAATTTTATGGTTGGGGGGGTCACCACAACATGAGGAACTGTATGAAAGGCTGGCAGCATTAGGAAGGTTGAGAACCATGGACATAAACAATACCCAAATCCTCACATCTCGACCAATAGGTAACACCATGATAAATGGAGAAAAGATTGAAGTTGTCAAGCATTTTGTCTTACTTGGATCCACAATAAATGCTCATGGAAGCATCAGTCAAGAGACCAAATGGCTCTTTGCATTGGATAAATCTGTAGCACAAGACCTCTTTAGAGTATTGAAAAGCAAGGACACTACTTTGAGGACTACGGTGGCCCTGACCCAAGCCATGGTATTTTCCATCGCCTCACATGCATGTGAAAGTTGGACACCGCATAAAGAAGATTGAGAGAAAAAATCGATTCATTTGAATTGTGGTCCTGAAGAATACTGGAAGTACTAGGGACTGCTAAAAGGACAAACATCTGTCTTGGAAGAACTATGGCCAGAGCGTTTCTTAGATACTTTAGGCGTACTGTCAGGAGGCCAGTCCCTGGAGAAGGACATCGTGCTTGGTAATACGGAGCAGCAGCGACAAAGAGGAGGCCCTCGATGAGATGGACGGGCACGGTGGCTACACCCACAGGCTCAGGCACAGGGGCGATTGTGAGGGTGGCGCAAGACCGTGCAGTGTTTCGCTCTGTTGAACACAGAGTTGCTCTGGGTCAAAACTGACTTGATGGCACCTAACCAACGCAGAAAAGAGGCATTGTGAGTCCCTAAAAAACAGACGGACTCGAAGCACTTACTGATCAAAGACTACGACCTTGAATATGGATTCCAGTTCAACATACGTAAAACAAAAGTGCTCCCCTTCCCTACTGGACCAATGAGCAACAACTTGCTAAACAGAGAGATGGCAAATCTGATGGATTTCACGTGACTTGGATTCATAACCAACGCCCATGGAGGCAGCAGTCAAGAAAGCATGTTACACATGGCAGCTCTGCGGCACACAATCTCTTTAGTGCTAAAAAGCAAAGCTTGAGTTGGAGGACGAAGGGTCCCCAACCCAAGGCAGGATTATTTTCAATCGCCTCACAGGCACATGCAGATGACACAACTGGACAACGAATAAGGAAAACGAGAGAAGAATGAGAGCCTTTGCATTACGATGTAGTCCCATGGACTGCTGGATGAGTGCGCAAAGCTGTCTCGGAACAAGCACAGCCAGAAGGGAGGGTGTCAAGACTTCATCCTCACGGTTTGGACCAACGCCTCACGGTTGACAGAGCGGTTGCTGGTGTTGGGTGCCATCGAGAGACTGCACAGAAGGAAACATCGCCCAGTTCTGCACCGCCCTGACGAGTGTGCCCATGCCCCAGTCCATTGCTGCAGCCACTGTGCCCATCCCCATCGTCTCTCGGGACAATATACCTGAAGTGCCCACCGTCCAGCCTACGTTCTGCGTCTATTCATTTGGTCTTCAGTGTCTGGCAACATTAGAAGCTATGCATAAGGTTTTCAGCAGCTCCTTCCTCCAAAATGGAACGCCGAGTCTTTCTTCGTTGTCTGTGCTTAGTCTGGAAGCTCTGCTGACAACTGTTCACTTTGCATGACCCTGCTGGTATTTGAAATACCAGTGACACAGCTACCAGCATCACAGGCACACACAGCCACCACGGAACGACAAACTGGCAGACAAGGGGTGGTGATAAGGTGTCAGTGACAAAGAGGAAAACCCTCAGAGAGATGGACCGACCCAGTGACTGCAACAGGAGCACATAGTCAAGACTGCGAGGATGGGAAAGGACAGGGCAGTGTTTTGTTCCGTGGACAGAGAGTCACCATGAATTCAAGGTGACTCGACAGCACCTGAAACCAACAAGCATTTCCCACAGTTACTAGAACTCCAAACTCACTGCCATGGGCTTGGTCTGACTGAAAGCGATCCCACAGGGTAGGGAGAACTGCTCCATGGTTCTCTGAGAATGGAATTCTTTATGGGAGTAGGAAGCCTCGTCTTTCTTCAGAGAGTGGCTGGTAGTTTCAAACTGCTGACCTTGTGGTTAGCAGCTCAATGCATAACCACTATGCCGCCAGGGCTCCATGTTCCAAAGCAAACATGGAATAGTGTAAGCTGTGGTGAAAAGAGCAGGCGTAGATCCAGTTTTCGTTCTGCCCTCAGTCAGTTGTGAGACTGGCGCAAACTCCACTTTTTTCAAGTAGCCTGCTGTACGGTAATAAGTCTAATGAAAAGGCCTGCCTCCCCCCCTCCTTTCTCATGTCCAGTAGTTTCCATCACCCTTAGGGTGCTAAGGACGGGTATGTGTGAGTGAGTGAGTGTGTGTGTGTGTGTGTGTGTGTGTGTGCATGAGAAAGAGAGAGAGATTGAGATTTCTTTAAGTAGTCTTAACCAAACCAAAACCCGTTGCTTTTGAGTTGACTCCAGTGCATGGCACTCCATCTGTGACAGGGTAGAAATGCTCAGTAGGGTTTTCTTGGCTACACTATTTATGGAAGCATCTTGCCAGGCCTTTCTTCCGAGGTAAATGACCACAAACCATTTGGACCACCTCGGTACCTTATCAATCAGAAGGACATTTGCTAAAGACATATAGAGTTACTTGTGGTTTATATTCCTTATTAAACTACAGGCAACTTGAGAACAAAAGCTAGACTTTACACAATCCAAAAGGCTTACATATAAATTCCTGTTTCTCCACCTGAAATCTATCAGCGTGAAACAGTCCCCTCTCATACTTCTAAGATTTTAATGATTCCTTTAAATTAAATCTGTATTTTAGGATATATAGTTTGAATTGTTCCCAATACTACATAAAACCTGTAGTTTTGTTTATTTTAACCTAGGTGGCCACAACACTTCTAATTAAGTAGCCCTTTAAAAACTGTCCCACAGAAAGGAAGTCTTCAATAAAACAGCCTAAGAGGTTGTTCTGAAACCACAGAACTGAGCACCAGAAAGCCCATGCAAGTAAATTTCACTCACGTTTACTAGATTGGCTCAATAAAACCTACGTGCATGCTTAATGTCATTGCAATTTATATGCATGTGCATTTGCCTTTGTGGAAAAAAACACAACAATGAGGATAATTTAACCCTTCCTGATACTAACCTGACCCAGCAGCAACCTAATGAGGAAAATAAGGAGTATGCTTCCTGCCTTGGTCCCAAGGTTGTTATCTTGATTATCTGAAAGCAAAAATTTAAGAACCCCAAAACAACCCCAGGAAGGTAATTCTAAACAAAATGTAATTGTCAAAAGTAGAATCTACTTTTATAGAGGATTATTTAAATAAATCCTATGCAAAAACAATGGGGATCCATTAAAGAAAATTCAGCTAAACAGAAACACCAAGAGAACTTATATAATTTAAAGTAAAATGAGTAGTCAAAGGAATCTATTTTAAAATGACCTCAGAAATGAGCTAAAAAATAAGTGATTAATAGAAGAGAGCATAATAGAGGATTAAGTTTGGTAGATTATAATGCAACCATTTACTAGAAGAGAATGAAGGCAACATATGTACAAACATGCCTGATTCAATTGATGTATAGATTGTGATAAGAGTTGTACGAGCCCCCAATGAAATGATTTAAAAAAAGAAAGAAACCCAAAGAGATCTCATAACCGTAACTGAAAGCTGCCTCTCAAAGTTCCCACATGCAGCTTTCAGTAAGGGTTAACCTGAATCTTAATGATCTGTTTGATGTAAATAAAAAAACTTGGCAAATTTCTCTTTCTACCCAAGAGTATAATTAAAAAAAAAAAAAAATCCAACCATTTAGAACGACAAATATGAGGCAACATGGAATCAGAACAAAGCTGCAAACACTAAACACAGTTATGTAAGAGTATGAAAATCTATAAAGATCAACGGAAGTAAAAAGTTGTGTCACTATGAGAATTGGGGAAGAACTTTTTAAAGCCCCCTCCCTGGGAGACTTTCATACTGATTTAACAGTAACATTTGCATAGATTCATATAATCATTTAGTGGCAAGTATTTTAATGGGAGTGTCTTTGCGTTTTGAACAGGCATGAACTTACTTGTTTTAGCTGACTCCGTCTTTTTGACAAAAGCATGATATTTTCATTTAGTAAATCCCATTCTTTAGCCTCGTAGCACATCTTCACGACTGCCACTAGGATCCGGGATGTAGACACCATGTCAGAGGCCTGCATGAAGAAAAAGATATCAAAGTCAACGGGACAACACCAAGCGAACTCAACGGTGAATTGTTTTCACTGTGATCGACTCACCGTGCGGGTTTGCTTTTCCAAAGAGAGGAGGGTTTCAATGACTTCTTGAAGTCTTCCTTCCTAAAAACAGAGATAGGACTGAACAATGAAAACAGGAACTCCAGCATAAAACTAACCCAACAGCCTCCGATGTTTCCAGAAAGGGAAAACCAGGAATCTATGCTAGATGAGGATGACTTTCCCTCCCTTTCACAATAGCACCTGCTTCTCCAGTGGAGTCTACAAGACAGTGAGGCCCAAGATAGAACCCACTTAGCTACATGTATCCATTTGAAATGCCTATAACAAAAGCAGAGAATTAACAATGATTATTGAGTCCAGTAGCACCTGTTTATCTTCTTCTGGACAGAGACTACACTAGCTGTCACAAGTCTTTGAAAACCGTAACGAGGAACAAAGCATTTTCTTTACATAACAACTCAGTGGCAATAGGTCTGGGTGTGATTCAGAGACCTGTACCCTCCATGTGAAGGAATCACTCAGAGCTAGAGAGCCCAGGTCTGCACCTATGATATTAAATGCCATCCACTCAGACAGTCTGTGGCTTGACCTCTCTGAAGTCGGCAGTCATTTAGCACCCTTGTGTAACATTCAGTCTACTCACTTTGTGCTTTGCCATGTTCCCAAATGATGCTTAATTTGAAAGTTTCCTGTCTTTGTAACCTTACAAAAAATGTGTTTTTTGTAAAGGCAGGGAAAATGGGTATATTTTGTTCACATTGAAGTTTCGTGCTCAGCATCATTCCAGGTGCATCATATTGATTCAGTGGACATTAGGGTACATCCCTTAGACTTTGTATCATATTAACATACATGTCTTTACCTCCAAAGAGGTATATAAATTCGCTGTTAGATTAACTGCTATTTCCTTTATCACAACTTGAACATAGTATGTGTTAAATCAAATCAACACTGACCCTATTCAGTGTTAGAGCTATTTACAAACCCCCTGTTGTGAGATAATGTATTTCAAACCACCCACTGCCATTGAGTTCAAGTGAGACCCTATGTAGGGTCCAAGACTAAATCTTTGTGGGAGCGGAAAGCCTCATCTTTCAACCCAGGAGAAACTGGTGGGTTTGAACTGTCAACCTTGGGTTAGCAGCCCAATACTCAGCCCACACCACCACTAAGGCTCCTTAATGGCCTACAATTCCGAACTCTTGCCATCACAAGTAGGATGTGACAAGTTATAAAAGAGGGCTTCAAAAAGTTCATGGGAAATTTTAAGTATTTTTTCATTCCAGTTTTCTACAAATCTTTTGAATCAAAGACCCCTTATACAGCTGAAAAATTCATGCTACTTGAGGATATCACCATCAACTCTATGAATATAATTCTCAACTGTCCAAATCTCACTTTTCCTCCCAATCTTCCACTTTCAATCCTATGGCTAGCCATCGTCCTTTTTCTTTTCCTGTCTATTCACATAGTTCCTGAGATTCCACCTCCTCAGTGTAGCTGCCTTTCAACTAAGAAGGTACAAGATGGCAAGAGCTATCCCAACCACCTTGTTAGAACAAGTGACTTCTGTTATTTATTGTTCTCAAAATGTCAATTAATATTGGGTATCTCTAAGCTCCCACCACTTGTCTGTCAGTCTGTCATACTGTGGTGGCTTTTGTGTGGCTGTGATGCTGGGAGGTATGTCACAGGTATATCAAATGCCAGCAGGGTCACCCAAACTGCGAACATTTCAGCAGTTTCCAGACTATAAACCGATTACAAAGAGGGCCGATGAAGATCAAGGCCGATGAAGATCAAGGACTGTAGTCTTCAGTATGGATTACAACTCAGCGTACAGAAAACCAAATCCTCACAATTGGACCTATAGGTATAGCATCATGATAAATGGAGAAGAAGATTGAAGTTCTCAAGGATTTCCTCTTGCTTGGATCCACAGTCAATGCTCATGGAAGCAGCAGTCAAAAGATCAAAAGATGTCTCGATTTGCATGCATTTGCTGTACAAGAGACTTCTTTACAGTGTTGACAAGCAAGGATGTTACTTTGAGAGCTGGGGCGCACCTGACCCAAGCCATGGTATTTTCAATCCTCTCATGCATTTGAAAGTTGGGTACTGAAGAAGATGACTGAAGAAGAATGGATGCGCTTGAACTATGGTTGTGGTAAAGACTATTGAAAGAAGAACCAGGGGCTGCCAAAAGAACAAACAAGTCTGTTATGGAAGAATACAGCTAGAATGCTTCTCAGAAGCAATAATATGGAGACTGTCTGGTGTACTGTGGACGTGTCATCAGGAGAGACTGCCCCTGGCGAAGGGCATCATGCTTGGTTAAGCGAAGGGGGATGGAATAAGAGGAAGCTATCTGACAAGAGGGACTGACCCAGTGGCTGGAGCAATGGGCTCAGTTGTAAGGATGGCCGTGTTCTGTTCTGCTGTACATAGGGTTGCTATGAGTCGGAATCACTCAATGGCACATCTCTAAGTTCTGTCTGCTTGTCTCTTTTCACTCCTCTATGGACTTAATCTTTCAGTGACATTTGTTAAACAACCCACATAAGCAAGAAAATGACCAGCAGAGAGGCACAAGTAATGGAATCCAATACTTTTAAACAGGCCCTCTCTTTATATAACACCTTTGAGAAGAGGCTGTAGGTGACTAAATGCAATGAAAATACATTGAGAAAGGAGACCCAGAGGACAAATTCAATGTAAGAATGTAAGTGAATCACAATTAACCATGTGCCAAACATACCAGTCAAAAAATAGGAGTAGGAAGGAATCTGTGCACCAGAAACTGCTAAATACCATTTCTTTACAGTTCAGAAAAGGTTCTCTTAAATCCTGACTTCTCAATCCATACAAATCACACCCAACTCACTGTCATCCAGCCAATGCTAACTCAAAAGGACCCCCCAGGGCAGGGCAGAACTGTCCCTCCAAGCCTCTGACAGGGTAAGTCTTTACAGGAGCAGAAAGCCCCGTCTTTCTCCTGATAAGCTGCCTGAGCCTTTGCTTTCTTACACAAGACATGGAAAGAAGACTACAACCTCAGTTTCATTCTACCTGAACTACCTCTGCCATTAGCCCCACCCCGTCCTGCCCCCCAGAGTAATCCATATACCTCACTTTGGTTGGCGCATGGTGTGGAGACAGAAAAATTGTATCTAGTTTAGCAGGCCCCATCATTCCCACATTACTGACTGCCGTCTCCAAAGCCATTTAACAATTTGAGCATCTGAGTCTTTTCAACTCTCTTGAAGGCCCAACAGTGACCTAAATAACTGCCACACACCATGCTCACTGAACAGCCAAATGTCGAGAGAAAAACGTTCCTACTAGCCCTGGTGGTGCTGTCGGGTAAAGTGTGGGACTGCTAACTACAAGGACACACCCACCAGCTGCGACTTGATGGCAGTGGATGGATACCAGCCTATAAGGTATTTGGAAGCAAGAACTATGTCCAATAATCTGTACACGGCCCAGGGTGGTGAGTAAAGCCTAGGTCTTGGCTATTAGGAGAAGCGAGTAAAGAGGAAAAGTATTTCCCCCAACATCCAGTTCTAGGAAAACCAACGAGTAAGTAGGAATGAAGAAGTGACACATTTGAATGATGGTGATGGTGAAGAATATTGAATATACCACAGACTATTACCACAGAACAGACAAATCTGTTTCGGAAGAAGTATGACCAGGATGCTCCTTAGAAGTGAGGATGGCGAAACTGTCGTATGTCCTTTGGACATGGTATCAGAAGGGCCAGGCCCTAGAGAGCACTATGTGTAGTAGAGGGCCAATGAAAAAGCGGAAGACCCTCAGAGGTAGGTAAAGACTGAACAGTGGCTGCAACAATGGGCTCAAGTGGGGGAGGAATGGTGAAGGTGGCAAAGAACCAGTGTTTCGTTTTGTTGTACATACTGTCACTACTATAAGTCAACACAGATGCGATGGCACCTATTCCCAAGAGTTTTAGGAATCACGGTACTTCTAAAAGCAAATGATTTGTTTCTTCCTTATGAATACCATCACTTTATTAATTCTAAAGTGGGGAATCAGTGGCTGCCTTTGGCTTATAGGTATGCTATATGTATTTTAAAACAGGCAAGTGTCTGGTTTCTAAACTTTGACATATTTCATATAACAATCCATATTTCTTGTTTCACCCTCAAACTGCAAGAGTCAACCAGAGTGGCCCTCATCCACAACGGGCAAAAAGAAGTGGCAATGAAGAGTGGTCCTCCCAATGCAGGCTCATGAGGAGGATGCAGAGTAGACATGACCATCAGCTCTAGACTCATCTACCTGTGTGCATCCCAGTGCCACTTTACTAGCTGCAAGGCTTGAGGGTTCGGGACTCAATTTCTCGTAGCCTCCGTCTCGCTGTCTGCAAAATAAGTATACCCACCTCACGGGGCTGAGACGAGAATCAAGCAAATTCATGCGTTTAGAAATCTTTGGAGAGTGGCTTGGCACTGTAGAAAACCAAACTCAAGCCCACCGCCATCGAGTCAATTCAGACTCAGGCAAGTAACCCTAACCAGGGTTTCAGAGACTCTAAACCATCGGTTCTCAACCTGTGGCTCACAACCCCTTTGGGGTGGGGTGGGGGGTGTCGAATGACCCTTTCACAGGGTTTGCCCGGTTCATAACAGTTGCAGATTTACAGTTATGAAGTAGCAATGAAAATAATTTTATGGTTGGGGGGGGGGGTCACCACAACATGAGGAACTGTATGAAAGGCTCGTGGCATTAGGAAGGTTGAGAACCAGTGCTCTAAATAGTTATGGCTGCACACTGCCTCACCTTTCTTCTTAACTAGGTTTGAACCACTGACCTTGGCCAGCAGCCCAATGCTTACCCCACAGTGCCACCAGGGCACTATAGAAAGTGCTCAATAAATAGACACTTTCTTGATCTGCCTGGCACTATGAGCATCTGAGTTGTCCCTCCCTGGTGTAACTAATGCTATTTTGTCATACCAGCTGCTAGAAAGCTCAGAACTGAATGAATGCCCCTCTGCCACCAAGTGTGCCAAGCACAAAATGCAGGTGCACCAAGTCATCACCTATCCTTGTTTTTTGATAAAGCCTCATTCGATTCCTTTCTGGAAAAAGGGAAAAGCATTTCCTTCTAAAACTCTGAATGTGATGCCATTACCCTGAAAAAACTCCTGCCCCTGATTTTATTCCAAGGTATACATTTTACTTGTTTACACGATTCTTGTCCTAACATGCAGCAAGCGCCTTAAGGGACCAGCACAACCCTATTGGTGAACCCAATCCCAGTTGACTAGCACTAGGTGTTTGCCTCTGAATTAATCGAAGAATTCGACGAGGCCCTAACATAATCCTGAGCAGCAGCCCGTGATGGAATTAATTAAACTACAAACAATATCCTAGTCAGGCAACCCGAATTTTGAATCTGTGGTTCCACCTATAATGAACTGACGTTGTTTGGTGCCGTCCAGTGCCATTCATAGCAAACCCCCGTGAGGCAGAGCCAAGCTCTGCTCGGTTCTGTGCCACCCTCTTCACAGAAGCTGTGTGAGCCCCCTGTTGCACGATCAATCCACCTGTAACCTTGGGCAACCAAGCCGAGCCTTGGTTTCGTCCTATGTGGAATGGTACACAAAGAAGCGTAACAGGCAGGTAGACAGCTGAGCTAAACGAACTACTGATTCACTTAGAACGCGATCTTATTGCCTATGTGTCTTTATTTCTGTTAACTCTCTTGACCATCCCACTCCAATTTTCCTCATTCGTCATGGCCCATGGGGTACGACCCTAAATATGCGCTCTGGTAAAACCTCTCATCCCACCTGGCCGAATGAACACCTTCCTTCTGTGCGTTCCAGTATAGTTTGTACGGCACTCGCCACCACGCATGACTCGACTCTTCCGTGGTGGACGCGAACACCTTCTGGGCAGAGGCCCTCTGTGTATTGTCTTTGTTTAACACTCCCCTGCCCCTTCTCCCAGCCCGGCGCATCGCCGCGATCCAAAGACAGTTGATCGCCATATACTGATTCAGCAAGAGCAATGCAATCGCTCACTCTAATCTTGTCTGAATGCTCAAACAAACGGCTTTAAACCCGAGGGAACACTGTCCGCGTTCGATCATCCAAGAAACGCACCACAACTGCTACGGGACCTGAACTCCTTCGGGGAGGAAGTGACCACCAGTCCCGGAGCGGATTTATTTGGGAAGCTGTCTGCACGTAAGTGCTTCGGCAGCGGCGTTTTCCCGGTCGAATAGACCGGGGGTCTCCTACGCACGCTGGCCCAACCTGGGGCGGGCAGGCAACCGGGGACTGCCGGTTCTCGCCCGCAGGCCCCCTGAGGCCTAAGCAGGCTCGGCGCCGTGACTCAGCCCCCGGCGCCCGCCAACAGCCAGCCGGCTTCCCCTCACCTTGGCCAGCTTCTCGCACTCCGGCAGACGCTGATCCACAGTGGCGCTGTAGTCCACTTCCATCTTGACGATGCGCCCATCAGCCCGTTCCGAGCCGCCGTCCGCCATGGTTTCTGCCCGAGTGTCCCTGGACGCGGCCCTGCTTGCCGGACACCGCTCGTCAACAGCACCGGAAGCCGCCCGTGCACCCGTTCAGGCAATGAGTCGAAGGCCCGCCCGAAGGACCCCTCGAGGACCCCTGCGCCGACTGCCTGTCAGGCACTGCCGCGGACAGCCCTGGGGGCGGGGCTCGCCGCCGGCGCGCTCGGCTTGGAGGAGGCCCTCTAGCTTCCGGCTCCTCCCTCAGACGTGCCAGGCCGGCAGCTTGTGGCATGGGGCAGGTGCCATCCCAGGTATTTTTACACCCCTGCTGCTTTCTCGGAACCATGGGTAAGTCACCAAACTTTTCTGCACTCCCAGCAGCCTCATCAATATTTGAGCCGGCCGAAGTAACCCTAGACGCCCTGGTGGCACCGCGGTTAAAGCGCGCTGTTTACCGAAAGGTCCGTGGTTCAAGCCCACCACCAGCCACCAGTGGAAAAACGTGGCAGTCGGTTCCCATACTGGTTACAGCCTCGAGACATCCAGGGGCAAGTTCTACTCTTGCCACAGGGCATCCCTAAAAAATAAAAAAAAAGTTAGCTTTTACCGGATTGAAATCCCTGATGGTTTAATCTGCAGTCTCTGAAACCTCAAAGGGGAAGGATGGCGGTGGCTTGGAAATATAGTAAACAATGGCTTTTTGTTTTGGTTTGAGTTTAATCTGCTAGGTTGAAAAGAAGAATCGTTACACGCTTCGTTACTGACAGAGAAAAGCTAGAAATTCAAGCTGGATTCGAAAGAGGATGTGAGGGCGATCTGGCTGTGACGTCTGTCACCCCATTGATGGCCAGTCTTGGTTTGGCTAAGCTGGCTGGCTAGGCAGGTGTCTTCTTCCTCCCTCACCGCTCCATGCGCTTGCTTGTGCGTGCGTCCCTCTTGAAGACGCTGTGCTGCTTGCTCCATAGAAGAGGACGACCTTTGGTCAAGGGTATAGGAGTATCCATGCCCCTCCGCCAGGACCTGCCAACAAACTCTCAAAAGAGGATGTGGAATGAGGGTTATCAGTGCGTGTTGATGTCAGAAAGATATTTATTTACTTTTTAATTGGCTATGCAAAAGCATTCAACTTTGTGGGTAATAACAATTTATAGCTAATATTGCAAAGCATGGAAATGACATAACATAATATGGATACTGTACATACACCAAGAGGCAATCCTTCAAACAGAATAAAGGAATACTGTGTGGTTTAAAATCAGGAAAAAGGTCTATCATGGTTTGTATCCTTTCAACATACGTATTCTGCCCATAGGCTGAGCCGGTACTCGTGAGGAGTGGGACTGTAAAAAGAATGGAGAATCGGCACAGGAAGAAGACTCAACCTATGATAAGCAGATGGCACAACCTTGCTTGCTGAAAGGGAAGAGGACGTGAAGCACTTTATTTTTATTTTTTTGGAAGCACTTTATTGATGATAATCAAAATATGGATTCCACCTCAACGTACAACAGAAATCTTCACAGCTGGACCAATGATAAATGAAGGAAATGTTGACGTTCTGAAGGATTTCATTTTACTTGGATCCACAATCTACACTCAGGAAAGTGGCCTTCAAGAAATCAAAAATACCACTCTGAAGAATGAAGATGTCCTTGGCCTAAGCCGTGGGATTTTCAGTCACCTCGAACCCATGCAAAGTTGGACAATGAATAAAGCTGAAGAAGAATTGGTGCATTTGAATTAGGGTGTTGGGTAAGATGATTAAATATACCATGGACTCCTAGAAGAAAGGACAAATTTGTCTTTGGAGAATTACAGCCAGAATGCTTCTTAGAAGAGAGGATGGTGAGACTTGGTCTCAGGTATTTTTGGACATGTTATTAAGAGGCGCAGTCCCCAAAGAACGTCATGGTTGATCTAGTAGAGTGAAAAAGAGGAAGACAGTGAGATGGATTGACACAGTGCCTGCAACAATGGGCTCAAACAGCAGTGATTATGAGAAAGGTACAGGACCAGGCAGTGTTTTGTTCCGTAGTACTTAGGGCTGCTTTGAGTCGGGACTGACTCTGATACACAACGGCAGCCTAGGACTCTTGTGAGCATCAAACGAGATCATATGTAGGAGACTGCCATTTAAATTCTTAGGAGTACATTTTCTGTATTATCACCTGTACCATTTGTCCTTGTGGACTCCCCATTCAAGAAAACGAAGAACCTACATCTAAGCTATAAACTCTTAACTCAACTCTCCAGGACAAACTCTGTTCCTTATAAACAAGCGCGGGATCCAGAAATGCTTCGAATCCTTAAAAGTGGTAAATAAGGTGGCGTGTGGCATGGTCAAAGAAACTGGCAGCAGTCACCTGGGAGGCAAAAGGAAAGCGTGGTGTGATCTACCTGTTAGGTTAAAGGTGACAATGCCCTACCCAAGTGTATTGCTTCTCTTGGCCTCAATTGTCTCATTATTCATTGAGCTCTTTGAGTGGTTCTCATTTTAACCAACAGCAATATTCCCCTTTTTTATGTCCAGAATAGACCTTTTAAAAACATAACTTGTAATTTTAAAAAAAATGCAGATAGCATACCCATTTACACAAATCACTCAGAGAAACATTTAAAGATAGCAAAATAATATATTTCAAAATATAAAGATAAAAAGCTACTGACTTGCTCCCATTCACAGATCCATGAACACAAAAGCTACAGCTGCAAGAGGTGTGTTGCCTTGGTCCTTCAAGCATCGTTGAGTCTTGTTATCAGTTGGCGGAATGCTTTTCCCGAAATGGGGCAAAGCTTTTGGTAAAATTTCAAAGAGAACCAAGTATAGTCTTCCATTATTTTGTATATAGAAAATTGGACTCATATGAGAACTGAAAAACAGAAAGTTTGTCCTTGTAAAATGGAGTTCAGAACCTGCGGCTCAGATAATCAAAAGCAGGTTTTCATGAATGTCTGGTGGGGCTTTAAAAGTATGAAGAAACATAGGACCATGTATTTTGTAGGCTTGTTATGTTGCATGCCATTTACAAACTGGCATGTCTCTCACCTCCAACCCCCGACCCCAAAGGCCACTAATAATTTCTCAGATATACTCTTGTGGTTGCAACATACTCAATAGACTAAGATACTTTATGACTTTTGACTCGAGGCAAAATGGGTTTGACCAGAGATAAGGATCTAATGGTCTAAATGTTGAGGGAAAAGTGTGAAAAACCAAAAAATGAACAAAATTGTGAAGGAGTAATTAGAGACATAGTCTAGCAACTGCCAGAGTTTACCCCAAAAAAGCAGGAACATGAGATGTTAGGAGTAGAAGGAATTCAGAAGCACATTCTGCACAGTTTTCTATTCCCCTAGTTCATGAAAACAAAATAAAGAGGAAGGAGGGACTTAGAAAGAGACCAAGAGATTGTGAAGAAAACTCTAAGCTCTGACCCCAATGCTGAAGCCCTTGCTAGGTTTGGAGCAAATGGAAAATGAAAACATGGAAATGGAAAGATACATTGCAGAGAAAACATTACATGTCATTGAATCAAGAAGGACCTTCGTTGAAGTCTGAGCAGTGGACAGAGAAATTAGGTGTGAGTGCTGTCTGATAGGAGCTCTGAGGGCATAGTGGTTACACATTGGACTGCTACCCCCAAGGTCAGCAGTTTGACACCACTGGCTTCTCCACAGAGGAAAGATGAGGCTTTCTACTTCCGTAAAGCGGTCTTGGAAACCCAAAGGGGAAGTTCTATCTTGTCCACACAGCTTGCTGTGAGTTGGAATTGACTCAATGGCAGTGAGTTTATTGTCTTATAGACACATTATTAAAATTATTAAAGTCAGATTAAATCTGACTTTGTGAGTGTGGTTTTAGAAGAACAAAACTGGCAATGGAGGAATAAAATATCTAAAAGGTGTGAGTAAATGTTGACTGGACTTTATTTGGAAAGAACAATGGTACAATTGTACAATGGTACAAAACAGCCAAAATAGTACAATACCGATGATTGAAAATAGTTACTTATATATTAATTATTATGTTCAACATAACTCCCTCGCTCCCCACATTTGGCATTTCTGGCATCTTCAGAGCATATTGGTTGGGCACCTATCTGACCTAGGCTTTGTGAAGTGAACATTTGAATGAGAAAAGACTGTAAATAAATATGTAAATATCTGCCTGGGGGCCATAAGTGGTGAGAAGGCCTACAAGGAAGATGCCCCTAGTGGCTTGGTGCAAGGGTCTGTAGCAGGGGAGTGAGCCCAGAAGCGCTGAGATGGGTGCCAGGCTTGTTTCAAGAAGAACCAGGAGATAAGGGTGACTGGAGCCCAGTGAGTTCGGGTGAAGTTGACAGGTGATGGGGTTGAGGCAATCCCATTGTGTTGTGTGCTATGGAACATCCGCCTTCCGGGACAGAGGAGAACTGCCCCACAGGGTTTTCATCTTTATGGGAGCCTACTACTAGGTCTTTTTCCTATAGAGCAGCTATGGGTTTGATCGCCAGCCTTTCTGTGTCACCTGAGTGGTAACCTATACATGAATTTAAAAAAACCAAACTCACTGCCATCAAGTCAGTGCCGACTCATAGCAACCCTATAGGATAGGGTAGCACTGCCCAGTGAGTGTCTGAGACTCGTAACAGTTTGAGGAAGCAGAAGGTCCCATCTTTCTCCCTAAGAGGGGCTGGTGATTTTGAACTGCCGACCCTGTGGATCGCAGCCCAACAGATAACCACTGTGCCACCAGGGTTCCTTTGCTTGAATACAAGGATTTGATTTTTAATCCAAATGAGATGGGATGCGAATGGAGGACTAAAGCAGAAAGAGCTAGGAGTTGATTTCCACATTAAAAGACTGGCAGTGGTGTAGTGATTCGATTGGGCACAAGCTGAGAGACTAGTTTGGAAGTTACTGTAGTATTCTAGAAGGAAAATCATGGCTTGGACTAGGATGGAAGTGGTGGCTATGCTATGGGAAGGAGTGATCGGCTTCTGAATATATTATGAACATAGAGCCCAAATGGGAATTGCTGTGGATTCGACAGATGTTGGGCGTGAGGAGAGGGATCAAGCCATTCTACAAGTCTTTGGCATGAGCATCTGGAAGGAC